TACGCAGCTGGCATGGAAGAGAGAATTCTCAACACATCCACACGCATCACATTTTAATATAAATAATTGGCATGTCGATTATTTATTTGTGTGTTGTTCGTGTATATGTATATAATTATATATATATATAATATATATATATATATATATCTTATATATACATATATATATATATATTATACTTTTGTATATTTTCTCTTCTCTTGATTCTATTAGTAATTTATCTTTGGTCTCTTATACCTTACTTTAATTTTAACTCTTCTCCTATATATTTGTATTTTTAGTTATATCCATATTTGATTCCACACACACACCATTCTACATATGTTACATTATCTATTATATATACTATCTTATTTACTATGTTACATAGTATATAATCATAGGTTACCTTATATTACTATATTATTATTATATATCAGCACTCACATATCATGTGTGTGTGTGTGTATGCATATATACTCGCCTATTATGTTCTATTACATTATCATATTTAACATAAATTTAACATATTACATTTAATATTACCATTTATTTTATTTTTATTATTTCTCTCACTATTATCTAACTGTATATATAATTATTCATTTACTATATATTGTATATATTTATACTTATTATATTATCTTATTATTCATTATTATGTTTTGTCTGTGTGTGGCGTCTGCATATGATATATGTATATAGTAATATCATAAGCATAAATACATTCATACACTAGTACATACAACATATACTATTATATATATATGTGATATTCTATATTTTGTATACAATATATATATATGTATACCTAGTATCTTATTATATTTATAGTGCTGTACTGTGTGTGGTGTTGTGTGTGTGGTGTGTTGCTGGTGTTGTGTTGTGTGTGTGTGTGTGTGTGTATTTATATTAATATATTTTATATATTTATATTTTTATATGTATTGGGTTTATTATATATTTATATTAGTATAATAATTAATATCTTTGCTGTATGTTGTTGTGATGTGTGTGCTGTGTGTGTGTGTGTGTGCGTGTGTGTGTGTTGTGTTTGTTGTGTGTGTGTGTGTGTGTGTGTATTACTATTATTACTTTATATTTTCCTATATATATGATATTATTATGTTATATTAATATACTATTTTTGTTGATTAATTTATTATATCATATTTCCTATGTTTCGTTTTTTCTGCGTTATTGTTTGTGTTGTGTTTGTATGTTGTGTGTTGTTTGTGGTTGTGTGTGTGTGTGTTGGTTGTGGTGTGTTGTGTGGTTGTGTGGTTGTGTTGGTGGTGTGTGGGGTGTTGGGGTTGGTTGTGGTGGTTGTGTGTGTGTGGCGTGTGTGGTGGTTGTGTTGGTGTTGTTGTTGTAGTAATTGTGTGGTGTGTGGTGATAGTGTGTGTTGTGTGTGTTTATATTACGTATCATTAATTATATTACTTATATATATTTATTATTTTATTTTGTCATGGTTATGTTAATTCATCATGTTATCTGTGTGTGTGTTGTTGTTGTGTGGTTGGTGTTGTGTGGTTGTGTTTGTGTGTGTGTGTCGTGCACAGCTGTGAACTAACAGTTACGAGAGTGTATGATCAATCAGGTTGTTCCGCCTGCTCTGGAATCATGATTACATATAATCTTTCTACTTCTCTATTTACTATATGCTCGGTAGAAGATCCTTTTACGCTGTAACTTGTGGTTTGTTCTTCTCTGTAATATTGTTTTTTTTTCTGGTTCCTTTTTTCCTTTTTTTTAGTATTCACATGAGATGCTTTCTCTGATTATGTGTGACTAGCGTTTATATTTCCCTTTCTCAGTTTATCTTTTCAGCTTTATATTTTTCTTATCATCTCCACCGTACTATCTTTGCTCCATTTTTCCTATTTCCGCATATTTTACTTTCCCATTCCCTTTCAATTCGCCTACGGACACATAACAGTTGCTTTTAATAAATAATCGCGCGCTAAAAGAAATGGACGCTCATTAATAACCTTTCGGTCGTGTGCACAATACGAAGTCGGCAAGGGAGTCCCAGGTGCCGCCCAGTCCTACCGCGCCCGTCTGCCTGTCCAGCATCGTAGGCAGGACTATATATGGGCTGCTCCCCGCTCTCGCCCTTCAAGTCTTCAGAAGGGCTTCGCGCCGCTCCAGCAGACGGGGACGTCCTCTCCTTCTCCAGGACTTCAAGGGCGTGACCGGGCACTCCAGCACGCTCGTTCGTTTTGCTGGGTCGGGAGTCTGTCGAACGTCCACAGTCGAATGGCAACCATCGATCGTATATCTTGGGAAACGTCTTTTGCGTCAGTCATCGTCCTTTGCTAGCTCCATCGGAAAAGGAAAGAGGTGAACTGCCCTTCCCTCTCGAGTACCCCTTGTTTTTCCGTCTATTCGTAGGCTTTTTGCTGAGAGGATAGATAATTCTCGGTTTTCTCCTCTGGAGAATTCGCGAAAAGGTTTCGCTAAATGCGTAGTCTTTTGTTGATAAAAACTTTGATTTCAATTCGTTTGAGTTAAAAATACAATCAGAGCGTTATTCTGATTTTTACTTTCAAATATTATTTATCACCATTCTCGTTTTCGTTATATTTTTATTTTACATGTGGGCTATCTATTGCTTTATTTTCGTTCTTGTTAACGTCTCCTAGGATGGCGCTATATCCCTTTCTCTTTTTTTCTTCAGACTAGACCCTCTATCACTATATCCTTTATCATATATAACTTCAAGGCTGCAGTGAAGTGACATCTTTAAACCTCTTCGCCTAAGTCCTAATGTGCTCATTTTCCGACCTGAATAGTAGGGTTCTATTATTATTTCTTGTTTTTTGATATTTTCATAGTTGTGCTTATGGGTTTTTTCCTATTTCCTCGTTACGTTTCATTGCTTTTGGTCTCAAAGCATGTTCCCTTCTCATATGTTTCAAGGGTTGGGATTCGATGCAGAATATGCGGGTGGGCTAGCTTACATAATCCCGTTTATTCTATCTTGGATATCTGTTAGGTGCGGAAATGTTCTCGCGTTGCGCAACATCTTTCTAGGGTTGCAAAACAGCCGTCTAATGTTTCCCCTTCTCTATGTCTTGGTGCGCCGCTTGGTTTATTGCTGGTTGTTGTAATTGGCACTGGACCAAGTGCCCTCTCTTGGTGCTTAAGCCCCGGATCCAGTCAGACAACTACTCACGGTGATTCCTCGGACGATGTTTTTGCAACGATCTGTTCGGTTTCTAGTTATACTCTGGCCAGTGGCCAGGAATCGACACTTTTTTTTGTGGTTTGCTAGCATATAAATGTGGTTGTTTATGTCGCATAAATTCTGTGAGCCAACAGTTTCCCGAAGGCCACTTCCTAGATTTGGTCATTTCAACGTTGGTCTGACCAGTATATTCGTCTGTTACGAGGAGGCTAGATGAGGATGTGATTAGAAGTTGACTACTCAGGGGCGATAGGGATGGCTGGTTATAGGCCCGCCGTTTGTCTGATGGTGCTATGAGGTCTGGCTTGTTATAGTATTGTGATGGGTGGAAACTGGAGGATGAGCTCTCACCGGGAGAGAAAATAGGATTGTTTCATTGGTGAGACTGCGCTTTATAAAGGAACTGATTAACCTGTCTTTTGAGTAAGGACATCTATGACTGATGAGCGCACGGCAGCCTCAGTGTCTTTGTCCTGATCTGTTCCTGATGGCGATTTGCCGTCTCTGATGACAGAGGTGAAGAGGCAGTTGCAGCTGGATTATTAGTGTGTTTTGTTCTTTCACTTCTTAGAGACTAAATATCGCTTTGGTGAAGACTGCGTGCATCTTGATCTCGCCATCATGATTTGCGGTTTGCTGGGGTACAGCATGAGCCATTTTATTCGGCGTTAAAGTCACGGGTTGCGGTGCCGGTCGTCATCTTTTTACAAGTGAGTAGGTTGATATAGCTGTCCGTCTTGTAGTGCAGTTTTGTGATGCTCGCTGATTGCTTGGCTTTCCCTGTTGAGAGATAATGCTCTTGCAAAATCGAGAGTGGTGTAGCGACTGCAGTGACTAATCGTCCGACTGGACGTCGGGTCGGTTCATGATCCTGGAGCCTATCTCGAGGAGGGGGCTGCTAAGACTAGCTATTGGTATCAAGTAGCCTTTAATCTCTTCCCATCCCAAGTCACTCCTTCCGGGCTGGGGGATGCGAAATAACAAAGCATAATGTAATGAGACAGATCAGGGTAAATGTGTGTCCTTCTTGGCGCTGCTTATTCTGGAGGGAGGGTTGATGGAGGCGCATAACATGTAAGCGTTGTGGCTGGGAATTTGGGATAGGTGGTGTAGAGAAGGTATGAACAACGTCAGAATTAGGGTGGTGTGTCTAAGATAATTGTCATTTCTCTGTCTCGAGGGTGGCAGGAGATGAGTAGTAGAGACGGGATGGTTTTTTTTATCTCATCGCATGGTAGAGTTCATGAGACGAGGGTGCTGCGAAAGGGTAGATAGGTAGATGAGAGAGAGATGTAGTGACGCTCTCCTCAGTTTCGAGGGTGGTGATTTTCACTGAAAAGCTACAGAAGATAAATGACGGAGGGAGAAGTTGGGGTTGACAAAGGGGAGAATTCGATATATGGTGAGCTCAACGTGAGTTGTGATGATCTTAAAGAAAAACAGATCACGCGCGAGATAGGAGCTTTCTTTTATAAAACATAACAGGCCTATTTGCATATATCGTGTCGGATTGAGAGAGTAACGAAGAGTGATTGGCGGCAGAAGCTGAGAGCATTGGGGCTGCGTTTGAAGTAACCTCTTTCATATTTCAATTCTAGGATATCTTCTCTATCTCGCTATATACCTGTCCATTAAATCTACCCGTTTATTCATTTGAGCAAATATCAACTTAATTTCCATTTTATTATAATTATTTGGTTTTCTTTATTATTATTACTTTATTTTTTGTTTGTTTACTTTTTATTTATCTTATTTTTTTTTTTTTTTATCTTTTTTTTTTTTTGTTTGCTTATTCCTTTAGCGGCTCTCCTCTTCCACAACAGCA